TAAAAAAGATAGCGTAGCGAAATAGCGAAATAGTTCGCTACATTTTTTAAGCAGTAGCTGTAGTCAGTAGCAAACTACCTTTGTTCAAAAGTAGCAGTAGTTGTAGCTGACTACATATTTTTGAAGTAGCTGTAGTTATAGCGAACTACAAAAATTTTGTAGTCAACCCACCCTTGATCTGGGATCTCTCGTTTGTGGCTTACGTAACTTCAACGGGGTCTGGAAAGTAGACCATGCCGTGAAATATTGTATATTATGGTGCGCACGCATATAATGCGTGTGCTGTTTTGTGTCTTTTAATAATTTTGTATGTCAATCCATTGGAGAAGTCCCCCCCCCTACACGCTATAGACAATAGTACTTTTACTTTTACTTTGTACTTCAAGTGTTTTTTAAGGATACTTTTTACTCTTACTCAAGTCGTTTTATTGTTAATTACTTCGACTTTTACTCGAGTACAAATTCAAAGTAATTTAGGCACCACTGACTGCATGCATTCAAAGTCATATTAGTTAGATACATGCTTAAGGCCGCCAAGATTATAAGCGTCGTTTGACTCAGTAAGATGAGAATCTTTTGTATGTTACGTAACACGCGCTCAAAACTAATGTCATGAATATACTTTTCCACTTGATTATGACTATATTCAATTTTTTAAAATTTTTGACACGTTTCTCAAGCGGCAAACACACTGAAAAAGTACATTTAGTGCTTCATCTGAAAAATTATGCTAAAATGAAGAGATTTTAGATGGTACGCCAAAGACAGAAAATGATAGAGAGCTCCCCCGTTTCCGTGTACGGGTAGCATGATTTTGGTCGATGTCTGTACCTTTACTCGTAATTAAGGTGCACATTTTTCACATTATATCATTGTCTATTGCAAGAAAACAGAAAAAGTATGATGGAATTACAGACATCAGTAAAACAAGATGACACTACTCGTACCCGTACACCGAAACCGGGGTATCTTAACCTCTCTAATGTCTGAAGTTCAGTACGTTTTGAGTAATATATTGCATGCTACATAAATAGTGCGTCAATTTTACAGCATCAATGATAATTAGTAAGTTCAATGTTCTCGATGGGTTTCCACAGTTCGAAAATTTACCAAGTAATGTATGGTCGCCCGGACTAATCTCCGGGAATCCATACATTTCTCAGTATTTTGTTTGTTTTTGAATGGTTGTATCTTAATCAGTATTAAGTTGATTAACATCAAACTTTGAGATTTTGTAAAGGTTAATGTGCTCTTTCTTATTTTGTGGGTCTTGTGTCATCCGTGTGGCCTTGGGACCGAGGATGGTCTTGTGTTGATTATTACAATATTTAGGGACTTGTGCCCAGGCTCTCTCGGTTTGAAAGTAGGTAATAACCAGGCTCTGGAGAACGACCACGCAATGATCTGGGAATGATGCCAGGCATCGACTATAAATAATATACACTGAAAAAGGATAATATATAGCCATTGTTCGATTCTAATTAGGCCTTATTCATTACACAGTCACTCTATGGGCACTGAGTTGCATGGTGATTACACTCATAATACACGCAGCATGTCATACCGTACTTCACAGTTCACAAATAAATATAGTTTCTATTCAAGTACTTTGAGCAGACGCCGGATGCCTCCTCCCTATCATGTTCGTTTCCTGTTCATATTGAAGTTCGCCCAGTCAAATATCGGTTGTCTGAGTTGCGAAAAGCATAATTGCCCATGATATTGCCTTCGAGAGATATTATATCATGCCGAGTGCTGGATTTAAGCAATGAAAAACAGCCGCTATACACCTAATTGACAGTTTCGGCTACAGAGCGAAAAAAGAGAGAAAAATACGTCCTTTTTAAGACCTATAGCATAGTGTTGTTTTTAAACTGTCTTTTTGAAGACCTTAGCGAGTGTTTGTTCCTGATGTTCTCGCAACGTGTAGGTTAAGCATTGGTTAAGTTTACTATTGTACCGCTCTATGCCTACATACTCTGCGTGAAAAGCTACAGGACAGCTGTATCACCGCTTGGTTGATTTCATGTGATTTCAGAGTATTCAGACTATAATATTCGAGACCTCCCTTGCAATTATCCTTTATAAATACCGGAAATTTGAACTCCCAAACAGTTCCGAAATCTAGTCCATCGTTCTATACATCTTGAGTCTTGGGCTATCAAGCCTACAGAGATTGATCAGGTGAGTTCGCATCCTTTAATCTTTATATATGTTGGATTGTTGGGAGTTCATGAGATATTAAACTCCCAACGTCAGTTTCGAAATCTATTCCATTATATACAGTCGTTCTAACTGCCCAGCTACAAAGCCTGCAGAGATTGCCAGATTGGTGGTGAAATCTTCTCCTTTCATATAACTATACAAGATTTAAACCAGTCCCAAACTTCGGAAATCTATTCCTACACTCTGTAGGACCTACAGAGATTGATGGGAGCTCTCTGTGACTATATCCTTGATCTAATCCACTGGCACTGATCTATCAGTCTAAAGCCTGGATTGTTTCTGAGTTCTTATGTATTCTTGACGTACTATTTAAAACCTTCCTAAGGCTGATTGTAGAAAGGTTGGATAGAGCTATCTGCCGGATGTAGTTTAAAATTTTTCAATCTTTTTATGAATTTTATTCAAATAAGGATTCTCATCATGAATTACAAAACGCTCTTCCTGTAATGTAATGCATTGAGTGGCAGCACTCTCCCCCTGATGAGTAAAATCGTCTGGCATTAGACAGAGCTATCTGGCCTCTGTTCAACCGTGCCCAGAACTACTTTGCTTATAATAGCAATGCCCAACAGGCATGCAGAGATTTGTCTGAGTGCATATTTTTTATAAGTAAAACAAATTTCAATTCCCAACCCTGTAGGCCACGCTATAGGAATAGAACCGATCTAAGGCAAAGTTTATCATGTAATCAGAGCTTGGTTTCCATATGGTCGTAACGGTCGCAAAAAATGGAGTCACGATCGATCTTTCTCATCAGCCGAAATACAACATTTTAGAAATGAAAATACCCGGATTATAACTATAGAGAATACTCATGATTTATATGTGGTTTACAGGTATAAACTATTATAAACTGGCCATTGAGAAAGATAGTGATTCTATTCTTCTACCATATGGAACCCAGGCTTAAATTTCATGCACACTGATGATATCCATTTAATGGCCTGACCGGTCAGGCCCGAATTTTTGTCTCTGTATCAATGGAAAGATCTGGTCGATGTTTCTCAAATATCTAGCGAAAATGGACGTCATTCTAATTTTATCTAAATTTTCAGGTCAGATAGATCCAAAGCCCAAACGTTTTGTGTTTCATTCAACAACTTGACCGTTCTGATCGGTCTGGCCTGTTAATGGAAAGCGCCCTAAGACTCTATGTAATCTCTATTCAATTTTGACATGTGCGTGAAGTTTTAACTGACTTGCCATTTGGTGTGGAAATACAAGCCATACCATACATGGCTATGCATTTTATACTATAGCATTCTGCCTGTTAAGCTAACCCCTTTTTATAGTTTTTATATTCAAATTTGCCGCCTACGTTAGGCTTTATTTTCAACAGTAGCTTTTGGCCTCATTCAAACACACAACACACTATTACAATTACAGTTTCTTACCTTTGAAACTAACTCGAATTAAACCGTTATATCTCATTTGAAACACAAAAAAATTTTGCCCTATGCCTATGGCCATGAAGCAATATCGCTTTCCTATTGCCTAACTGCAGGGGGCAATATTACCAAATCATACAACTTCAATTTTGTTATATTTATGCTTCAAAACTACTAAACATTCTGCATGTGTGGTCGTTATCTGATCAGGCAACATTTACTGCAAACATGCGACTATAATATGAGGGTCCTGAAGGGGGGGTCGTATTCCCATTTCCCAGCCCAAATTTTGACTAAATCCCATTGTCCCAGAGCACAAATCCCATCATCTCTGTAGCTGTCCTGCTCAAATATTAATCCCATTCCCATTTCTATTGTTTTTTTGCTGATGAATCCCACTCCTAGTGCATGAAATCCCATTTTTCCACCCAAAAATAAGCAAATCCCAGTTCCCATTTTACCCCTTCAGGACCCTCTAATATGAATCAATTTTTATTAACTGTTTCCTTTAGCCTTGGGTAGTTTAAGTTCTTGGCATCTTGCTGTCATATATTCATTCTGCACTGTCAGTTCACATCCCTTGGCTTGTACGACAATTGTACAAGTGTATTGAATTGAATTGACTGCCAAACTATATGAAACATTCCCAGATTAGGCCTTACTTAGGGTTAAGTCCTTGAACTGTCAAAACTTGTGAGAAAATATTACTGTTTTTCATTCATGTTTTACAAGTATGTGTATTTGATATAGAACACGATATAGACAGTACAGCATAATAGACTCACGAATGCATACACGCTTGCTATATTTTCCCCCATATCCAGCAGTTACATGCACGCGTGTTTGCAAACATACTGAACCGTTAGATCAAGACCACATTCAAACGGCTCAGCTTCGATTATATAGTAGCTAGCTAGGTCTCACAGTTAACAAACCGAAAAACAGACTCACCTTTAGTTTATCGGTAATGCAAATGACAATGTCCCGAATTAATCCGTCTTTATTGCTATAAAAATCCTCAAAGAACATCCAATAGTACTCTTTTTTATATTTCTACGTTTATTCAGTGTCCAAAACAATGTACTAAACAGTTCCTACTGAATTTAGAAATATATTAAATCAGTTTTATAGCCAGAAGTCAAGACATACACTATACCAAACGTAAGCCATGCAATTCCACTCGATAACAATCAAACTACAATCAGTAATCTGCCAGTGACGAGCTGTAGAAACGTATCAATGTGTCTTTATTCTTTAATTTAATCATATCGTTAGCATCCTATTGTGTATCAGTATAGTTCGCTATTCTTCTAGCATGGTAAGGGGTCTTCTGCATTCGTGCTGAGTGTTTGGCCGAACTCATGCATTTATAAATACTGTAAAAATGTTCGCTACTTTGTAGTGCACACATTTCCCACGCGTAGCGCAAGACACCTGTAGCAAAATTCATTGCCATGCCATGTTAAAGTTACAGTTATTCATTAAAGTTGGTAGAGAATCGCATGGTGAAATAGTTCTCGTCGGTTTGACAATGGTATGAAAAGTCGTTTGGAGCCAACAGCGTTTCTGGCACTCCTGTCAGGCAAGCCCTAATCCGCAATTAACAATAATGTATGGTGGTTAAAAGAAAAAAATACGTGTTAAAAACATTGTAAACAAAGAAAGCGACTTCTTCAAAACCACATATCTAGTTTTTTGTGCTCTTTGAGAAGTTTTAAACGGTAACAAGATTCGTGTTACCTTTCTGAAGGCTATATTTGATTAGCTATTTGAAATTATTTGTCTAGTTTACAGCAACGTTTGTGGTTTCAACCCACAGAACGGTGAAGATTTATCAAAGAGAGTCGAACAGTGAATCGGTGATTAAGCTGAGGCTGATTGTTTGAAACAGTAGCGGTGCCATACAGACAAAACGGTGGACAAAGCGATACAAGATAGTTGTTTAACAGTTATATATATCATGCATGGGTGTATTCAATCATTGAACTGTCTATGTTATAGAATCATGTATATGCATGGCAATAGAAATACTTTTGTTTGGTGTGTATATAAAGATGGCGTACTAATCATCCTTGCTATTTACTAACTAAAAGCTGAATTACGAAACCAATTAGTCGAAAAGCAACCAAGAGTACCTCTGGCTGTTATAGAGGTAGCTTATCAGTGAAGCAATATACTTTTCTTGGTAAAGTTTGGCGGATTTTTCACATCGCAAACCAATGTTTTGATTTTGTATTGATGTAATGGTTGTTTTAGTTCGGTAGCTGTGCCTGTGATATGGTTTACTTTAGGAACCAAATTAGGTCTTTGGCTATTGATGATAAACGATCTATCGACGTCTTCGATTGACGCTTGGAAATTCGTAGATGATATGTCAATTTCAGAGAAAATATATAAGATGACTGCGAGCGTCATTCAACAATCAGTCCGGGAAGTCCAAGTCAGTTTGGACTCGTAAAAATCTGGCCGAACTAAACGAGGACAAGTACAATGAAATGAGGATCTCCTTTACTCGTAAACGAACGGAAGGAACCATTTGGCTCTCATGTCCTGGTCAACAATAAGGAGATTGACAAACTCATTCCTATAAGGAGAGTGAGCGTCCATATTCACTATATACGAACACGTAACCTGCAGCTCATTGTTCCAACCTGTCGATCGAACTGATCGCTTCAAAAATTCCTTCGTAGTTCGTCATAGCAAACAGTTTACAAATGATTGAAATGAAATCATGACTTCCATACCAACTTTTAGCTTTGAATTTTAACGCTGGCGTAGTATATAGTTTTTTTCGCTTCATATATATAGATATATTAATATGTATATTTCTACCTTTTTAATTCAAGTATTAATTCATGTAAACTGAATTCGTATTCAATTGAATTGAGTTTTCGCTGACTGTAAATTGCAATTATTACCTATCTATCTGGTATGGTAAGATGTGATGTGGCGTTATATGCACTATAAAAACAGATAGGTTAAAATAACCAATTTTACTAATTGGTTGTCTCAGGTGCACTTATTTGACCAATATTTTATTGGTTAAAACAACCAAAAAATATTGGTCAAAAGAAAATGCATCCCGCGAGACAACCAATCAAGTAGTTATTTTCGGTCAATCTGTTTTTATAGTGTGTTACTGTATGATGTATGATGTGTGGTATAGCATGGTATAGGTGTGGAATAGTGTTGTATAGTATGGTATTGCCGTGGTGTAGGTGCAGGAATTGTATGGTATGTCATCGCTGTGTGGTAAGCCATGCATAGTATGGTATAGGATATGGAATAATATGTATTTTCCAGTCCGATAAGTTTAGTATGGTAAATAGTGGTATTGTAAATATGGTATGGTAGATGGTATGGTAAGTGGTATGGTAATTGTTATGCTATGGTATGGTATATGGTAAATGATATGGTAAATAGTATGGTAAATGATATGGTAAATAGTATGGTAAATCATTATATCATATACAAAAAAGTTACAAATGGTATGGTAAATGGTATAGTATGATATGGTAAATGCCTAAATGGTATGGTAAATGATATGGTAAATGGGTATTGTAAATATGGTATGGTAGATGGTATGGTAAGTGGTATGGTAATTGTTATGCTATGGTATGGTATATGGTAAATGATATGGTAAATAGTATGGTAAATGATGTATGGTAAATGGTATGGCATTATATCATATACAAAAAAGTTACGATGTTACGGTGAAAAAAATTACGATGACCCCGTACTTGACATAGTATACAGTTCTACAAACCAGCCTATTTACATATCGTCAGAGTTTGCTATATCCATGTACCAATATTAAACAAATTAATGATTTTGCCACGCTTTTCAAAGAGTCATCTAAATGTAACCAAGTTCATGTCACAAAGACTATATACAAAGACTATATAGCTAAACACATTTGCCATTTTGCGTCGGTCTGTCTTTTTATCATCAATTACAACGCGTAAAATCAACGTAGCACCGTGTAGAAATTACTGTAGAGTAAACAAATCGTAATAGGCAATAGCTTGATATTAAAATCAGTATCACTATTATAATTGTCAATGGCTGCGCAATCTTTCAAAAAATGTCGGCTTATTGTCTAAAAGTCTGAAACTAGTTATCTGCTATAGACGAATACAAGCCGAATTTCAAACTGACTATTTCAAGCCTGTCTGATTAGTGAAAAAGTCCTTAAAATTAATTCTGTTTTCATTTTGTAGAGCGAGATTTTCGGCGGTTGTTCAAAGCGATATAGTTTGCTGTAAAACATTTCATTCTTTCAAAATTTAAAAATTAAGTTTTATTTTAAATCGTTTCTTATAGCGTGCAGTATTATTCCACTATCTGTGAAGATCGCAAACCAATATCTCATTAGACATTAAATCTCAATTCTAAAACAACTTTCAATTCAAAACAAGACGCGATTAATATAAACAATTGTAAAAAGCGGGCAAAAGGTATACGTGCAATAAAGTCTGTTTTCAACTTTAATCATATCGTGGGAAAACGTAGCATATATTTCTTTGTTTCTGAACAACTAAAACGGCTTCAACAAAAAAAACTCAAAAGAGAGTGAAAAAAATTATGATTTAAATGACACAACACAGACTTACTTCGATTCAAACGTGGGCTACACTGCAAACGACAAGTCATTTTCGGCATATCCGTTCCAATAAATCACAAATTAACGCCAGCGAAGATCTTGGGTAAAATTCCAGGTTATGAATCCATCACGGCGATAGCCACACAGAGTTGACATTTTGAACCAAAGCATAATGTATTATCATCGACTTGGGTGAGAATTAAATCACGTCTGACTTGTCAGCCATATACTCAATGAATATGATATATGTCTGACTGTACAATTTAATATTGTCAGTTGCCTGCAGGTAGCTTAGTAACCAGTCAAGCACTATATAATTCGCCTACGCTCTGAAGCCATACAACTACATAAAAAATATAAAACGTTAGTTCAAGCGAAGACCATTATTCGTCGAGAAGTTTGTAGCCAATATATATAATTTGACTCACGTCTTCACTCGCAAAATGACTATAATATAGGAAAAATTAAACCCCAAAAAGGCCGCAAACATTTATACGTAAAGGCCAGGGCAATATTTATTCAACTGACTCAAAATCTCAATTCAAATTTAATAGCAAGTGCTCTGACGGTTCGTGTGTCCTTGTATACTCTTTTCTGTTACCTTTCTGGAGCAATAAAGCATTAAAGTGCTTATTCTAAATATTAAATGAAATTTCACACCATTCTTTTATGATTGCAAAACTAGCTGACGACTAGGCTACTTGTGCGATACTTTGCCAAACTATTTTAACTTATTTCTTTCTTAAGATATTTAACTTAACAATTTCTGATACGCAAATTATTCTCAATATGCATGACGTCAAATTCCATAAGCCATTTCTGGAAAAAAACTTTTGCAACTTTTATACAGATAACTAGCGATTCAAATTTGTCGACATATATTATGATATATATTCGTAGCATGTTCACATAACACATATGAACGATTTTGTATAATATCGATGCATGATATCCCAAGATCTTCAGAGAAGTTTTTTTTCAGAAAGTCCGTTATGCAATGTGACATTTTTGGAGGATAATTTGCATGCCAAAATTGCTAAATATCTAAGGAACGAGGCTATATTATTTGGTCACTTTGAATGATTTTTTTTACAATGCAAGCATAAAAACTGTGGTGTGAAATTGCGTTGCATATACTGTAAGCATTTTAACATTCTTAAGGCTCGTTTATACTTGCAATTTTCCCCGCGATTTTAGGTGCGATTTTCTTCTCCTGATGGATGTGAACGAGTGGATGAGTTATGAATGTTCAGATGAGGGTACATATACTCAGAACATTCATCACTGATCTACTCGTTCACATCCGTCAGAAGAAGAAAATCGCACTAGATCAATCGCGCAGCGAAAATTGCAAGTGTAACTGAGGAAGGAAGCCAACACCATAACCTTTTTAGCTATACTGTATAAGTAGGTGGCCAATCGCCCTACCCTGGGAGCAAAGTCCTCTCGTATTTCTTCTCGGCACGGCACGGAGAAGCGAGAGAGAGACTCTGCAGAACTTGTGTATAAATTCATTTGAGCATGCGCTAAGGTTGCTAAGCAACTGCCTATTTCCCAGAAGAAGATTTAATGAGTAGTTTCCGGTTCGGATCAAACCCAGTTATAAAACCGGTATCAAACCTGAAATTACGCATAACTATCCAAGTTTTTGGATTGTCGGCTCCACAAAGAATATGCACAAGTTCTGCACGGAGGCTCTCTCGCTTCTCCGTGCCGTGCCGAGAATACGAGAGGACTTTGCTCGCAGGGTACAATCGCCCCTCCCTCGCCTCCCGATATCAGGATGTATCCGCACTGCTTGTTCTCAGTTGTTGTGACAAGCCGGGAACAATTAGCCAAGTTGACGAGTGGACTGGGGACGAATGTTAAAAAGTGCCCAAATAAGAAATGAACCAAATCACTAAAAAGACCACCTCAAAATTGGTAAGTATACAAAGTTTGAAGACGTTTACATGAATACCCTTCGGATAATAAGCTTTCGAAAATTGTGAAATTACTGATTAAAAGATTGTTTTTGGGACGCGCGTCCCCAAACACAAAAATTACAGTAGTCAGTACATTATTTCATAGTAAATATCGTGATTTTCGAAAGCTTATTATTCGAAGGGTATTCATGTAAATGTCTTCAAACTTTGTATACTTACTAATTTTGAGGTGGTCTTTTTAGTGATTTGGTTCATTTCTTAATATGGGCACTTTTTAACATTCGTCCCCAGTCCTCTCACCAACTTCGGAATAGCTAATTTGTCATCATCTTGTTGCGAGGTTGCATGCATGACGACAGCAACAGATCTGCTACAACGGGGTTCCTGTAATTACAAGATTAATACAGGCTGTTCGTAACAAACTGCTACGAACTTGTCGTCATCAACTTGTTAACAACTTGTTATACTGTTGCTCTTCCGATCTATATCAAACTTGCTGGACCAACTTGTTGCGAGTCTGTTGGCCTCATCAACCTTGTTACAAGATGACAACAACTTGTTCCAGACTTGTCAACAACTGGGAACAAGCAATGCAAACACGCGAGTGTAGCAGAGATATAAGGCTATAAAGAGTTTTATTTAGGTTTCTCCTGTAGTAATATTGTTACTTACCTTCAGAGATAGAGCTATCCACTTAGAACACAATAGAGCTATCCAGTATGTATAAAATTAGTTAAGTAAAATTAGTAATATTGAAGCTATAAGAGAAGGTTCTTATTGAACTTCGCGGAGAGAGAACGGTTTAAAACAACATGCAGAGTTATCTAGTATAGATAAAGTTAGTTTAGACTGTTCTTTCATGCAGGTGAGCTTCTATCTTAATGAAAAATACACAGTTGAGAATCACTGTATACGTTATATGAGATAATAAAATTAAAGCTGTATATTTAAGTTCTAAACTGTCTTCCCTATAGGTGAAATTATAATCAGTTAGCCATTGTGCCAGCGACACTCCTACTGAGCTAAATTCTACTACTAAAAATTTCAAACCTCAAAATTCCAGAGCAGGCATGAAAATTGTGTCAAAATTACAACATGCCAAGACACCTAAACTGAATCCGGAATTACTCAATTCGCTTGAAAGAAACTATTAACCCATTAAGGGATCCGGTCCCATTTACGAATGCCTATTTTAGCATGGGGGCAAGCGTTCCT